CATTCATTATGGAATGGTTTAGTATCTGTTATTTCTAGCACATATTCAGAGTGCTTAAAAATACCAGAGAAAAGCAATGTTTTGCTGTCAGTGTGTTTTGCTATCAATGTTTTGCTATCAGTGAGAGTGCCACACACTCCCCTCTCCCACATCCTGCCTCCGTCATTGCTTCCCCTCAAGCTAGGGAATTACAAATCATAATTCACATTCCAAGCATTAGTAGTAACTTTGGCTAAAAAGAGACAGACTGTAAAATCTCCACTACATGATAGACCAGAAAGGTACAATTTAATCAGTTTAAATTATTCAGTACTTAAGAATAAAAAACCCCAGTGCTTCTGAAAATAAGATGATGGAAACCTGATAATAGATGCTGAGAGTTTTGTATTGATACACTCCTAGAATGAAGAAAGAAATAGCAAGATTTTGATCCAAACATTTTGACATTCAGTTCTGAATATCATCAAAGTGAAATTTTTTTACATACCTGACAAGTACACCTATATTAATCAGTTACTGAGCATCAGAATTCTTGTGCAACCCTTGCCATGGTTTGTAGCTTGTTGCTTCCCACATTGGTACAAGCCAAGCTGTATTCAGTAATGACAGACAAAATATTAAAGGATGTGTCACTAATTGCTGTTATTACTTTGTGGTTTTAACACTTACATATGATGCTTGAGAGGCTTAAATGCTAACACCTGATTTTTTCATTAAAACCTGTCTCAGTATAGGCCTCTACTTTTATTCTCCTAAGTGTAGGAAGAGGCTCAAATAAGATGAGGGTAAACATATTTTTCATTATAACAGGCAATATTTCCCTTGACTCTGTTTATCCCATCTTTTCTACTTTAGGTTAAAAAGTGGTGGCATTAGGGCTTTTTTTTCTTTTAGTTTGCTGATTTAAAAAAAAAATTGTATGGTTTTTTTTTTGTAAGTAAAAGCATCTTTGTAGTTTCGTGGTTTCACTTCTTGCACTCACTGTCCTCTTAATTTTTTCTCTGTGATAAAATTCTCCAGTGTTGGCATGAAATTCTGAGACTAGAAAAGCAGATAACCAATTTGTGCTGTTTCTCGGTTTAGAAGAATATTCTTAATCTGTTCCAATCTTATAAGCTATAAGACATTGAGAAATTACTTCTTTGCCAAATAAGAGTTAAAGTTAAAAAGCCACAAGTTCCTAGACAATTATACTGGTTTGTACTTAAAAAAAACAAACCAAACAAGTAGCAATTGGAGAAACTAGAGAGACTACATGTTTCTCATCAGATAACATAAATATTAAATACTTACCATTTTTTCTTTTGTCTTTTATATTATTTTCTTTATTTAGTTGCTACATTTTCTATAACTAATTGCGAGATAGGGGAATTACTCAATTTGTTACCTTGAGTATTCATACGAATTTCAATAACCATTTAAGTATTGAGCATCTGTGTGTTTTACACTTAGTGGAAAATGAAACGTGTGTAGGTTTCCAAGGCAGCAGATGAAACAAGCCAACTTTACCATTGTTCTGACTTTTTCACAATGTCACTGTCTTGGATTTCACATACAGATAGAGATGCTGTGAATAAATTCTATGGGTGAAGAAGCAGAAAATAAGGAGGAAAAGAGGATTTGCCATGTGGATTCATTATAACAATGTGGAACACAGTCTCTCACACACACAGGCTTTCCTTACTCCCTACGGGATATCTATCTGTAGGCCTCTATCAATTTCTAAGAGATTTTCTATGTGAAAGGATCCTCCAGCTAATTTCAGTGTGTAGCTTGTTTTAGATTTATCTTTCTCTTACGTCTTCTCTCTTCCTTTACCCTTTTCAAACCTCTGTTAAAAGAGGTGGGGGTAGGGGAATAGATTTAGGAAAAAAAATAAAGGGAAAGAAAATTATGAAAACAGTGCTATGCATGTATCCTCAGAAACATTTTATGAAAATACCACTGCTTCATGCTGAATAAAAATATAACTTACTGTATTCTTCTTGCTGCTCATGGAAAAGACAGGATATCTATGCACCCATTATTCTTCACCTATATACAGCAGTCCCGTCACTGCAGAACGTGATGTTTCAGGCTATGTCAGAATAGCAGAAAGGAAACAAGAAGAATCAGGTAGTGGAGAATAGAGAGAGATACCACATTGTCTCAACAACACACTCAGAGACATGGACTGGACCATATGTGGAGGCTTCAATGTATTTTAACATGTGAAAGCAAGTAAAGAGTGACTCACCCTGTAAGTTTAAAAAATGGACTTCAGTCTGATACATGCTAAGAACAGTTGCCTCTTTATCTGACTAAAAATCATGTGAACCAGTGCATAAATCTACAAGCCATGAAGCTGCTCCTTTCAAATGTCAAATTTCTAACATAATTTTATTTTCTATCTGGTAAAAAGCAGCATACCTGGAATCACCTTGGCAAGCCAAGTGAAAAGACAGAAAAAGCAAGCCATTAATGTTGTCCTGTGAGGGACTATTTCTAGGGTCACTAGGAATGGTATTAGAGTGTTTCAGGGTGCTGGGGCTCTTCCTTCAAAAAAGACTAGTTAAATATTAAGTCTCGACCTTTGTTAGCTGAAAGGCACTTTATGCACAATTCAAGAGAAATGAGACAACATTTGTGTAATGCAGGGTAACACTTTAAATATTTTTCTAAGTGTCACTGATCTTAGCACCCCGATCTGGAATAAAACCTGTTGAAATTGCATTGTAAACTGCTAAAATAAACTGTGTGACTGGCCAGGACTGAAACTAACTTGTGTCTTTAAACTCAGTATTTCTCCAGAATCAGTGTAATTTAATTGAAATAGCTCTGCGTGTGTAAACAACTCCTTTGTTTAAAGAAGATTTCACTGTTTAGTTTGCCTTAAGTAAATGCTGCCTTTTGTTTGTCTGTAAAACATTTGATTAAATGTAAGGACTTACATAGACAGCTTCTCCTCATTACACTAGTGGCTGGGAAATAAGTTAAAATGATGCAGGTATCTGCTGTGTAAGGAAGTATCAAACAATATCATTTATCTTGAAAAGAAAAACCCATGGAAACACCTTAAGCCTAGTCCTAAAATCCAACTACAATTCCCCTAATATCAAGAAGATGGTATGTAAAGAAGTGTTGAAATTTTTCAATGTACTAGACTCTTTTCTTGCTTTCTTAAAGAAACATTTCCTAGTATTTTAATCAAACTCCAAATTTCCTACCTGGCAAACCACTTTTAAATACATTACTTTCTACTGAATTGGTGTGTTGTAATATGAAGACCCACACTTTATTGTGATCGTAATGGCATTAAACAAAATAAGCAAGACAATTAATATGTAGCATAATTTTCTTCACCAGCTAGAATCCTTCTATAAATTGTAATAATGTAATATACTCTAGACAGGGTGGAACTCTTAAATTCTCTTTCAGACTAACCAAAATAATTTAAGTCCAGGCAGGAAAAAGGCAAGCATAACAATTTTTTCATGTCAATAGGGCCATTCACAATGCACAATCCGTAATGAATTTTGCAGATTTAGATCTTTATGCTAGTGATACTTAAGTATACCTTCTACTCGTATTGTCTAAAACATAGTAAGTAGATAGGGAACACAAACTCATGAGACATGGAAGCCAGGATGGTCATTAATGCTTTAATGTGTGCTGAATAGCTGAACAGGGGCTTTTTTTTTTGCTTGTGTTTTTTCTATACTTTGGGAAAGCTTTTCAGATTCAGGATAGAGATGCCAAAAGAGAGACAGCCAAGCATCCCTCATTCTTAAGACAATCAACTGTTTACAGTGCAGAGGGTGAAATCCATGTTATTTCTGACTGCTCTTACTCTCCCTAGGTAAACCATTAGCTGTTTTGTAATCTTTCTTCAAGATTGCGAGTTAGATGTCAGTGTTGAACAAAACCTCAAAATTCTCATTAAGTTAAATTTTAGGAGTTTTATCTAGTTCAATTCAAGAGATTTTTTTAAGTTCTTAGGTTAAAATTGGAATAATAACTGCTACTGATAAGTAACATTAATACTAACTTTTGAACAAATGTAAGTATTATATTGTTGTTAAATAGTTCAAGGATATTTGAATAATTATGCAATTCTGACAAAGCTCTCATGTCAAAATATAAACCAATACTGCAGTTAATTTTAACTTCTTGCTTTACAGTAAACTGAGATTTATTCTTTTCATTCTGAGTTGGAGTATGTAAAAGAGAGGTTATTTGTAAGGAAAACATCCCACTTTCTGCTCTCGCTCCAAAAAACTTGATGTAAATTACCTTTTCAAGGGTAAGAGTTGATGATGATGATGATGCAAGATTTAATTCATCTTTATTCAAGAGTAATTCAAAAGGTGCCTACTGCCATCAGTAGAAGTTGAAGTAAATTCCTGTGTTGAAGTTCCCCTCAGTTCAAGAAGGACAGGGAACTGCTGGAGAGAGTCCAGCGTAGGGCTACAAAGATGATCAAGGGAGTGGAGCATCTCCCTTCTGAGGAGCGGCTGAGGGAGCTGGGTCTCTTTAGTTTGCAGAAGAGGAGACTGAGGGGAGACCTCATTCATGTTTATAAATATTTAAAGGGTGAGTGTCACGAGGATGGAGCCAGGCTCTTCTCGGTGACAAACAATGATAGGACAAGGGGTAACGGGCACAAGCTGGAACACAGGAGGTTCCACTTAAATTTGAGAAGAAACTTCTTCTCAGTGAGGATGACAGAGCACTGGCCCAGGCTGCCCAGAGAGGTTGTGGAGTCTCCTTCTCTGGAGACATTCAAAACCCGCCTGGACGCCTTCCTGTGCAACCTCATCTAGGCGTTCCTGCTCCGGCAGGGGGATTGGACTAGATGATCTTTTGAGGTCCCTTCCAGTCCCTAACGTTCTGTGATTCTGTGATTCTGTGATTCTGTGATCTAGAAATTCCTGTATGTTAAACATTAAATAAACTGTTTTTCTTATATGAATCAGATATACAATTATACTTATCTCTTTTTTTATATCTTCTTTGATTAGGCAATGCTGGATGTTGCAGCACATCATGGCTGGCTGGTGACTGCTCTGAATATAACCAATCTAGTGCAGATGGTGGTTCAGGGCAGATGGATACATGAGTCTTCCCTGCTTACTTTGCCCAATATAGAGCTACACCACCTTTACCTTTTTCGGTATGTAACTCTTCTAAGCATACACAGGTTTGCAAATTCCACCTCAGACTGCTGTTTGTGTTTGAATGCATTGCTGTGCCCGAGAATGTTCATTAATGCACCCGAAGCTGAACTTACTCTTTCACAGTGATGCCTTCCCAAATGGAGTTTCTGTTTCTGTTTTCTATATTCATTGATTAATTAACCCCCGCAGATTATTTTGAGAACAGTGATTCCAGACAAATTAACAAGAGATCGCTGGAAGGGTTCCAAGTCCTAACAAATCTAACTGTATATTAATTATCTATTTTAATCCATTATAAAAATACATTAGTATCCATCTTAATATAACAGATAATGCTAAGCTCTATAGATGCCTAGATGATGCAGGAATTAATGTTATCCAGAAACAAATGACCACCATTTAATAACAGCAGTATCAAGATTTACCACCTGAAAACAAATGTTTGCTCTCCCTCTCTGGGCATATGTTTTGCTGTTTGTATCAGGAAATGGAGCCAAGGCTCAAGGAAGAGCATGCATGGGGGTTACCAAGGACCTATCGAGTGTCTTCCCGAACTAATGGCTGCCTGCGAAGGAAGAGAGAATGTTTTTGCTTCCATTGTGGACAGTGAATTGCAAACAGCACAGATTTCACAGGTAATGCTTTCTATCAGTCATCATTATCAGTGTGATTGGAAAGGAAGAGCAGTTGGGAAAAGAAATGCTCTCTTCGCTTCCCGTCAGTAAATATCATGTGATGTTCTGTCCAACACATTCATTGCTCTGATTTCAAGGTACTGCCAGATTCACAGGGTTTCTTCTCTGCCTAGTTTTCTTACTATTTTCACTTATGCCCTGGTAAGCAGTAACAGAGTCTGGTTTATGGCTGATATTACCACATCTCTTTGCTCTAAAGATGCTTCTCTAGGTCATTCAATCTGCTGAGTGTTATCCACCTTTTCATAGCCAGCTATACACTAGGAATACATGCATTACAAATGTCATTATAGCTGGTTTATGAAGTGGTCTATCAAACACCACTTTTTTCTGACAAGTAAAAGATTCAGCACTCATTTTCTATTTGAAATAGAAAAAGCAGATGAAAATTTCACACTGTAAAGGGAGAGAAAAAAATACTGTCTCAAAATGTTGAGGCTGCTGGAGTGGTATTTTCAGTTTGGTTTTCAAGCTATTTCCAGCAAAAGGCAGCTATATTGCATAGTATTCATCACATGCTAAGTCTATTGGTTTCAAATAAATGTATGAAAGATGAAAACTTCAGAAGGTATACTTCAAATGTTTTTTATTTGAATATTTTAAAGGACAGCAATATGTCGTGTGTTTGACTGTTCAGCTTCAGTTAAACCTTTTACTGGTATGCAAACAAGAAGAAAAGTACTTAAATGTCAGTAACAGACATCTGCATTTGTAACTAAATTAACATCAAAATTTTGAATTAAGAAAATGTATTGACATCAAAACAAGGCTTCCTGTAACAACAGATTTCTAACATAATACACATTGATTTCAGTCCAACTTTTAGATGTGATAAAAAATTAGAACATTGTTATAATTAGTTCAGGGAGAACTCAGAAGTAAACTTACTTAATTTATTTGCATAAATTGCCATTCTGTTATCTTTAAAAGCAAATGCAAATTGGCTCTGTCTGATATGATGATGGTTATTTGGCTCAAAAGTGCTTCAATTTGCGTAGCAATCTGGTGTCGTCTCTGCAGTGAGGCGATCTCAGGTAACATACAAATCCTGAATTATTCTAGAAATTAGTATGTTTAAAGCATCAATTTAAGTGCTAATTGCAGTAGTAATGAGAAAAAGCAGTACTACTGTGAGATTTGCATCTACTGCCCCATCAGTATGCCTGGAACGGCTGCTGACTGGCAGAGGATTTGGCTGCTAATTAAATAATTGTATGCATGGCAGTGTTCTCGTCTGATTCAATAGATGAAGATTAATCCTCAGATAAATATGTTTGGCTGGTATTGAAATGTCTTAGCAGTTTCTTCAAAAATAGCTTGTGTGTGTGTGGTGTGTATGTTCACACTGTGAATGACTCTATGCCTCTATATGTCTGTGTTTGTAAATACAGATGCATATAAGAGGGAAAAACATAATGTCTTTGCATCATATAAGGAGAAAAAAGTTTCATTTCTGTGAGCTGGGATTGGCCATATTGGGCGTAGCAAAGCCATGACTATATTATGCAGGTCATTGCAAATGTGAAACATTTATACCAATATTTTATATTTTTTATGACATCTTTTTCAGAAAAAATTATTGTAATACCTTGTAGAGAATTAAAATTCATATTGAGATGGCCTGTTGAGTGCCTTCATGTGTAAAGTCTTTCAGTGCACACTTAGCCAGGGGGCAACCAAGAGAAAAATTCTTCAGTAAAGAATGCATCTCTATTATATATTTCCTATAACAAAAGAATATAAGATTACATAGTTTAAGCCTAGCATTCTAGCACCAGACCTGAACAAAGTCAAATAAAGTGGTAAGTAAACCGTTAAATTGCCAAAAACATTCTTTTCATAACGAACCTTTTACTTCTTACTCACAGCATATTGAACCTATATTAAACCTGTTACTAGCATGAAACTGGTAAAAACAACTTAAGTCTTACGTAAATTTGAGACAGGAAAAGGAAGAAATTTCACATTTGGAAAGAAGAAAATGTCTTTTAAGCAGATTGTTAATTAATTTTTAAATAACAGCTCTTGAAGCTGCTCATGGATTTGGAATATTAGGCTAAGTCCTGGGGAGACAAATTATTGGAAAAAATGGTAATGATAATATCAAAGGTTCATTTAGAATTTCTCATGTGGTTATGGTTTGATTCTATGGGTTTGGTAGGTAAGGATTGAGAGAGAGAGAGAGAGAAAGATACATAGATAGATACATAGATACATAGAAAGAATGTATCTATGTACAGTGGGCATGTTGACATATTTAAAAGGAGATAATATGTGCTTATGTCATCCTATGCAGAAAAAAGCCACTAACATTCTCAAGAAATACCTAAGTGATGTGGGAGCCTGAGTTTAATTTTCCAAAAGTTAGTTATAATCCTAAACCTCACTGAAAGTCAGCAGAGCTTTATATGCTGACAGCCTAAATTCAAAAACTATTTAGACTGTAACTCTGATCTTTGGCCTAAGCTCTATGTTTGTTTCCATGATTCATGTTTTTAAAATCCTACGCTGCTATTTATATTATTGAAAGAGAAACAAGAAACTTCAAGATTGAAAAAATATCACTGCTCTAGTATTAGCTGCTTTTACTCTGGAATTATCTGTGTTCCTACAATCTTCTTCTTTTTCAGCTGCTACTACTTTACTCTTTTTCTCAGTAAGAAAAGCATTTCTTAATTTTCTCCATATTGCATGGATGATTAAAAGGCAATTTGCTGTCCTTCTGTGTCAATGACCAAGCAGTACCAACTTTGCCTTTAATTTTCAAATACACAAGGCCCGGAGAATGACATTTTCCAACTACTTTCTTAATCTACTTAGAAAGTTAGTCAAGTTACTTTATTTTATTTATACTGTAAAAGCTACACAAGGGCGTGAGAGCCTTTGACAAGTAGAATATGTTGGAGTTGTACAGTATAAACCAATCTTCAAGAGAGCGACAGGTAACACCACTAAAGGAGTTAATTCATTATGATCTCTGCTGAAATCAAACTTTATTCTAACATAATTGTAACAGGCCTTATCCTCTGAGACAGTACACATACAAGTTTTCCAGGTAAGTGATAACCAAAGGGGTGACTGCCAGGTATATGTTAGGGTGCCTGTACTGAACACAGCAGAAGTGCACAGAGGATCTCACACAGTAGGTCTGTACCATTCCTACAGTAAGCTTCATCTTAAGAACCTTTACATTAAACAGAAAATTGTTTGCCAGTTAAGATGTTACTACTTTAGTTGTCTTATCCACTGTGATCTGCTGGAGCTGATTTTAGTAGTGCTTTCTGTGTTAAACGTAGCAACATCCTGGCAACAACTAATTCATTAAGAATGCCTGTGGCGTTTTTTCTCCTTCTTCAAGGTGCTGCCTTTTTCCCCCTTTTCCCTTTCAGAGTAGGGACAGAGAGGGATATCTTTCCCCTTAACATTCTAGCTGTTTATTTTCTGTTATAATTTTCCTGTCCTTAGCTAAGGATCTATTAAGAACATCAGTGCAATTCCTTGGAGTGCCCTGCTTTTACACCGCAGTTCCTGAGCACTCACAGCTGGCCCTCCCCACCTTCTCCATTGAACGGACACAGCTGTTTATGCAGCACACAGAAGAGGGAAGAGAGAGAGAGAGAGAGATTAGTTTTAGCCTATATCAGTTTTCTCATTTAGTTCAGCCAGGCTCTGGTAATGCAGCCATTTTAATCCAACAGAAATCTGCACTGCAGCCGAAATGGGCAGTCCTGCCCTCCCTGTGCCATTTTCACCTCTCCTGACCCAGCTCTCTGCACAGCTGCACAAAGCCGGTGGCTGGTTTGGGCGAGGAGGTGGGAACAAGCATCTGGGGACCAGGGGAGGAGGGATCATTTCAACCTTCTCGCTGACAGTCAAAATGTCTTGTAGCCAAGTGGCTACATGAATGCTTGTGCCAGCAGGGGAGGAGGCTGGGCCACTTCTTTTAGTGGCACTGAAGGTTCATGCTTATTCAGAGTACTCACAGGATTACAGAATGTGCTTCCACAATCAGCTTTAAGCTGATCTAAGTTGATGCTGTCACCAAAATGATTAACAAGCTGATCCATCTAGCTGCACAATCACAGCATGGTAGTGCCAACATATCAGGGATGGAGTGGGACAGCTAGCTGGTGAGGAGGATGCTGGAGAGAGGGACAGCACCTCCTTTTCCTACAGCAGAGCGATCTCAGGTCTGCTTCCCCTGGCCGCTGTATCCCTTATTATGTATTAACATATACCGTTGTTGTCAGTATGAATCACAGCAGTGATGTCTCCAAAAAGCAAACTGAGCTTTTATTAGGGCTCTCTGCCTTCCAGCACAGAAAAAGTAATCAGAGGCACATCAAGCACAATCTAAATGAAAACAGATTTTCTTGAAACAGAAGATGGTCAACATGAAAAATAAAATATACATCAGTCTTTTTCCAGATAAAACATTTCTGTTCCATGCCCGCATTGCCCATGCAACTATGCCTACCCAATTCATTCCTGCAAGTTTCCATTTTGACATCTGCTGACAGTTTAACAAGATCAGTATTCTTTTCTCCTTCCTCTCCTTCCTACCCTCTAGCTGTTCCTATGTGTTTTTTGAAAACATGAGTGAACTGCTGATTCCTATTTTGTTTTGGAGGTGAAGGGGAAGTAGGGCAGGGCAGGGCAGGACAGAGGGTGGTTCTTCATTTTTTGGATTTTCTTCTTACAGCACCAGCCCCTTTGATCTTTTTCAGCCATAGTGAGGCCACAAATCATTACCTCCATTCCAGTCAATTTTTCCATTTCTTCTTCCTGACAAGTTTCTTTCATTGAAGTTGCTGATTTTACTAAATGAAAGCCTGCACTTCTCCTCTCCATTTTTGTCACAGCTTCTCAGAGCTGCTTTTCCTTCTCTGATAGAGGCAGAGACAAGGAACTAATAGGGCTGTATTTTCAGGATGCCTTCTTAAGGTTGAAGAGAGTGTCATGTTGAGCTACACAAATTGTATGCTTCCAACAGTTCTCTGTACAAGGATGGGAGACAGCTGAGGGCCTGTTGCAGTTCATGAGAAACCACAGAGACTTAAGATTCCTCACGAGGATTGCAAGAAGGAGGGTTCATGAAGATCAATGCAAGAAAAACCTTAAAGAAAAATACTAGGGATAACTTTAGATGTGCAGTTGAACTTTTGGTTAATTATCTGAACTGATCCTCTGAACTCTCTGAGGTTTGCCCATTGCTAATTAGCACTGCAGAGACTTGTTCTTTATGGATTATGCTAAGGAAGTTTAATTTAAAACTTAATTATACTAGTTTTTAAGTGGCTTATAGGAAAAAATACTTTAATCGGGAGTGGTAAGGAATTTTTCCTGTGTTCAGACATCAGTAATCTTAGTGAGCCATGTATAACATGCTTGAGGAGTTTCACATTTGTTTTATTTGCTTAGAAGAAAGTAGAGTAAGAGGTTAATGAAAAGTATTTTATGCTTGATTCTGAGCCATATGATTATATGCAGTGTTCTAATACATAATATTATTAATATAGAATAAATATGTAGACTGCACATTGAATTGTTATTGTTACAGTGACAGTGGTCTGAGCTGTATAGATTGTCTTGTAATCCACAGGGTTCTGGGGTTTTTTCTACAGGCCTGGAATTTCTTGTGCCGTTTGCCAATCCTAAACATCAGCCTGAGCATTAAGGGCTGTTGGGATGACCCAGTTCAGCCACAGAATGAAGTGCCTGTTCCTTCCTGGACAACTGACCCACGAGATGACAAAAGATGGATCAAATTACACGCTGATCAAGAGTATGTGCTCCAAATAAACCTGCAGAGGACTCAGATGGGGTATCAGGTAGGATTAATTTATCATTTCCTTTCCAAGGGCAGAAGTCTCCAATAATCTGTTTACATTATCAATAATGCTTTATACGGAATAATGGAGTTTTTTTATGGTTTAAGTGTTATGTAAATTACAAACACCTTCAAAACCTCTTCTGTGTTAGTAATGAAGCAAATGGTTTTTCAGGTTGCAATAGGATAGTAAATAGACTTTTAAGTTAAAATTCTAGATCAATTCAGGTCAATGAAAAAAAAAATTTCATTTTTTACAAACCAGAAACTCATAAAGTTAATTTGCTTGGGTACTATAAGCTGATAACTTCACAGGCAGTATATAAGTACTCACCATCCCCAAACTCCTACCACTCCTACACTCTTGCATATCCTGCTTCCCCAGACCAGTTTATAAGCTTCCCTATTATATTCCCATGTAGCTCCAAACTACATACCAGACCCATACCTGTAAGCATGTTTCTACTTATAACGCATCCTCAGCCCTTTACTGAGGATATTTTCCTCATATTTTATGTGTCAAGCTTTTTTCAACAGCTCCTAGAATGGCAGCCACAAACAATTCTCTTCCACACCTAAATTTCAGTCCCATTCCTTTGCCTAGTTAAAGCACATCCCATTTCCTCTTGGGCTGGTGACCTCCCAAGGCATGGCTTCATGTGTCAAGCCAGAAACACCAGCAGCTGCACAGATTTCCAGCTGTTCTGCCCATAGCAGCAGTAACTCGCTGTGCGTTTGTCAGCTTTTGGAAGAGTTAAGGCCACGTCTCCTGCATTCACATCAGCAACTGCTGACACTGTCACTATCACTTACTTATAGGTGCATTTTTTTTTGTCATTTGCATGCCATGAGTGGCATATGGACCACCATGATTTATGATTTTGCTAATGAATTTATCTAATATTTCAAGCAACTAAGAATTAATTACCAGCATTTTTGCTAAGATACAAAGAAGAGTTCAAGATATAAGCAGAGAACAGTTTTAGACTGTTCTGAGACTCTTCATTTTGATAAATAATGGAGATGCACATGTTCTCTTGCAAATCCTGAAGTTAACTTACATTAGTTAAAGAATTAGATTTGAAAAGTATTCTTCTTTCCCAAAAGACTTCTTGTCCTGACTACAGCAGGTTCGCTGTATCTCCAAGGGGAGACTGTCTCATTTGTAAGAAGGAAAAAGGGTCAAAGCTCCTCCACGAATTGCTCTATTTGCTGTGCCAGTTACTGACAGAGACTTCCTAACCAGAAGCCACAGAAAAGAAAGGATCAGGAGCATTTCACGCAGTGATCACTGTTTTATAAACCTCTCCTAGAATTTGGTCCCTCGTCTGTAAGAAACAGCTGGATCAAACTGTTTCTGAAGCATCATTGCTATGGTGGTGCTTTTTCTTCTCTCTAAATCTTCAGTAAAACCTTTCCATCTTCAGAACACAAAATGAATGCTGATTGAATCTGCATCATGACATCTTCAGCTTTCAGCAGTAAAGTCACTGTCTCAAAGAATGACTGAAATAATCTTTTGTTTTGCTATATCAACCTCAAATAAAGACTTCAAGTGCTGTTTTTCTGTTTATATTAATCTTGAAGGGTATTTTTTAGCATTATTTAAAGACACAAGGTTTACAATTAACGCTTCTGCAGAGAACAGCATTTGGAATACATTAGATTAAATTACAAAAAAGGGAACAGTATTTCCATTCAAATTTTAATGGTTTACAAAATAATTGGAATACTATCTCATATTCTGGGTTTTTCTCTGTGGACTGTGATATTTTTTAAAAACAACTTCATCTGGAAAAAAATAAAAATATTTTAGTCTGGCTAAATTACTGTCTTACATAAAAAATTCACAACAATGTGGTTTTGAGGTGTTTTTCATTCAAGGAAGAATGGCATTTTGGAACAGTTTTGCTAAACTGTTTATTTTCCCCAACAGGGAAAGCAAGATAGTAAAGCAATTGCTCCTCGCTTCCCTAAAGTTAAAGATGAAGGATGGTTTTTGATACTGGGAGAAGTTGATAAAAAAGAACTCATCGCCCTGAAGAGAACTGGATATGTCAGGAATCGAAATACTGTTTCTCTTGCTTTTTATACTCCAGAAACTCCTGGCAAGTATGTAAAATTTAAAAATTAAGTTCTCTTAAAGATTATCTTTTCCAAGTAGTCAAGATCTAATTTCCAAACTAATGATTCTGCTTTTTACATTTTAGGTGTATCTACACATTGTATCTCATGAGTGACAGCTACCTTGGCTTGGACCAACAGTACGATATTTACCTGAACATTATACCACCTCGTACGTCAGCACCTGTTGAAACAGAGGGGTCTGATGCCATGAGTCACCTGGCTCTGAAGTAAGGTGACACGAAGAGTCCATTCAAAAGAACTGGTCTTGCAGCTAAGACATCTGGTCATTCTGGACATCAAAAATGCATTTGCCTTAGTGGAACCAACTTCAAACCTCAAAACAACGGGAAAATTGAAAGGGACTACTGTCTTGACTCTGGTAACACAGAGTTAGCCACAGTGGCCTTACTCCTTTATGAAGATTTGTCTTCTCTTGTTTCATCTTTCTTCTTTCAGAAGTCATACTGTTAATTGAATTTTGACACATCAAAATAAATTACTAAAAGATACTGTAACTTGCGCAAATTAAAGACTGTAGTCTTCATTTTGAGAAGTGTTCTGTAGGCTATCAATGTAGTTTAAATAACCAACTTTTTTAATTTATAGGGAAAAATACAAAATTTGATCTAAGAACTGCTGAAAATATTGAAGGATGTGTTATATTTCATGTTTAATAAAAATATGTCCATAAGAATGTTTTGCATTAGATTTTTTCCATGTGAAATATGAGGTAGGTAGATATATATAGTAACAAAATTGTCCTCTTACACATACTACTTCTTGAAGGTGATAATCTAAAGGAAAAAATTTCACAAATTTATATTAATTATAGATGCAGTAAATCTGGTTATAAAGGCATGCTATATAGTATAAAATATTGCAATTTATATAGATCATAAAGGGTAAAATTTAATTACATGTATATACATACACATATATACACCACGTTAAATATTTACAAATTCCTGAATTTTGAAGCACAAAAGCATGTAAAATCAGGTGTCCTGTTCTAGGGCTCTGTGCTAAAGTGGGCAACTACATTCTGTAAATAAGGGAGAGTGAGGCTCCAAAAATGGGGTTTACAGCAGATGGCTTGATGACCAAGGAAGAGTTCTGCCAGACGATAGGGAGTGATTGTGCCATGGAGGCACCTCCACCTGCAATACATAAATCTGAAGGGAGAAGGTAGCAGCATCTCTCTTCTGCACAATACAGGGGTTCAACCGCAGATCTCCACATCCTGAAGTCAGGCCTCTAAGGGGATTCAAGATGCTGAACAAGGACTTAGAGGCAACACACTGCAAAAATATTACACATCTTCATTCAGATAGACTAGACCTTAAATGGAATATTTGTATTAGAACTTGTTCTGCTTTGCAGTTAGTTGATAAGCGTTACCTGAGGGCTCATTTTGCTCTCATTTCCATTGTGTTTCACCAGATGAAAGAGTACAGCAGAGCTGTTACCTGAAAGCTTCGGGAAAGAAGAAGGAAAAAAAATAAAAAAAAGAAATAGAATTTACACTGGTGGTGCTACACCCATGAAGAATCAGAGTGGCTGAGGTTGAGGGGGACCCCTGAAGGCCATCTGGTCCAAACCCCCCAATCAAACAGGGCCACCTACAGCTGGTTGTCCAGAACCATCCAGATGGCTTTTAAATATCTCCAAGGGTGGAGACACCACAGCCTCCCTGGGCAGCCTCTTCCAGGACTTGGTCAGCCTTACAGTAAAAAAAGTGTTTCCTGATGTTCAGAGTGACCCTCCTGTGTTTCAGTCTGCACCCATTGCCTCTGGTTCTGTCACTGAGCACCACCAAAAAAAGTCTGGCTCCGCCCTGGTTAACTTCTTCCATTCAGGTATTTAAAAATGTTGATGAGACACACTCCCCTCCCCACCCCCCAGACCTTTTCTTCTCCCTTCTAAGCAGTCCCAATGCTCTCATCCTTTCCTCATGTGAGAGAGGCTCCAATCCCTTCCTCTTCTTCATGGCCCTTTGCTGGACACTCTCCAGTATGTCTGTGCCTCTCTTTTGCTGGGGAGCCCTGAAATGGACACAGTAATCCAGGTGTGGCCTCAGAGAAGGCTGGCTGATCTCAAAGGGTCCATAGTTAATTTATTTCATATCTATCTGGCACCTTTAAATTGTGAGAAGTTTTTAAAATAATCAGTTCTGTAGTCGAGTGTTTTCAGACATCTTCACCCGATGACGTTAAAAATTTCATATTTCATTATTATACGTTGACCTTATTGCCTAAGAAACTGGGACAATAATAGAAAAAGCTGACACTGTATTTACAGCCTGCTAGATGATACAGCTGCCACCTTTGCCATTTAGACTATATCCAATATAATATGGTGGTGTGTCACATAACACACAGATTTTTTTCAAATTGGTAGGCAAAACTTTGGTTATACACACATTGTAGTCCTACGCCCATTTTTAAAAGAATTGTTTTCTCTAATCCACAAGTACATTTTCACAGAAATTAAGCCTTTTCTTTGGGAAAATTCTTGGCTGAAGCAATATATTGTCCCTCAACAATTTTAATTAATTAGGGAAGAGAGCTATGCCACAGTCAAACAACATACCAACATAGTGACGCTAGCTCTTGTTGCTTTGTAAATGCACATCACAAAACAGCCTCACTGCGGAGTAGCAGACAATAGCTTCAGTATTCTGTGTTAATCAATTAAAGAGTCTTTGTAATGTCATTTGTACCATTTGTACTTTGGTTTGGAAATATTGTATTTAACCTCCTAGCATGTTAATTTTTTTTTAAATAGTTTGGTGAAATTTCTAAATAACATATTTGAAACTTTTTTTTTCCAAAAGTATTGGATTAATAAAGACAAAATCTAAAGCAATATAGAATGAATTTAAGCAAATTGATTAAAATCTGTATTTATCTGAAAAATCCAAGAGATGGTGTTCTGCTGCATTTGCAACAGCTGCTTAGAAGGAACAATCAATTTGTTCAATCTAGTGTTACCTAATGGTGGAAAAAGAGAATAGCTGTCTAACAAAAGTATGAAAATCAAACACAGAATTAAAAAAAATAAATACTTTTGGTGATGCAATTATCATCATTATGGATAAACGAGCAAATTGACAGCACATACAGATATTTTCAATGTTAAGTTTCTCATTCCAGTTTGCAAGCTGGTTGTTGTTTCCCTCCCCCCCTTCCTTCTTGGAGCAGCTGCAGTTAGTGCTTGCCTGCCCAGGTACAATAAATCTTCCAAAAACTGGAAAGAGCAACCAAAAATACGCACATCTCATGCATCAAGGCCTGTGTGACTTCACCCTTTCCATCTTACCCTGTCCTAATCTGATCACAGCAGTACTTAGCAGGAGCTAGAGAAACTTTGGGTATGTACAATCATCCTCCATCTCTTCTTCCAGGGCTCTTCTGATGCAATCTGATGTTTACAACCTTACAGCTTTGGTTCTAGTCCAGGTCCTGAACGTATCACAGTGGCACCATGAAACCACCTCCACTACTGCAGGTTGGACTTTGAATCTTTGGAGGCTCTATTTTCACCCAGAGGAAATCAGGGGTTTATGCTGCTGACCCAAAATTATTCTTACTTGTCATGAATTTGCTTCTAGAGATCATCTCTAGATGATCATCCTGAAGGAAACTTCTGGAAGTCTCAGTGACCAACCTCTATTCTGGAGCGTAGTGTAAGACTTGAACATTCACTGAATAGGCTGCATTTAAAGAAAGGTAAGTTCTGCAATTCCAGTTTTCTAGTTCTGGGAGGTACCTGCAAAGAGAAGAAGGTATCCCATGTCCATCTGCTCTTGCACATCACAGCCTGAATCTAGATTTCTATGTTCCTCCCTCACTCAAGAAAAAGAGGCTGTGATATTTTTAAAAGAGTTTGATGAACTGATCTAACAGGCATCACTTTTCTATGAAGAGACTTATTTACTGCATCCAGTTCTTAAATAATCACTTCCTTGTCTTGCCTCTACCCCTCCCTGCACCATCTTCCACTACCTGTGAGCCCAACAGTCACACCTGTTCAGAGACATTTATCCGTATTAGTGCCAGTAAATTATCACAGAAAGCACTTTTTTAAACTCATCTCTCCATGATGTGTTATGGACACTATTCTAGCCTATGCCGTAAGTATTGAAGCAGGACAAAGCAAGGTAATACAAGCAAACGATATATATTTTTTCCACATCCTAAAAGTCTCCATAAAAAGTCTGAACTAATGCTGAGAGTAGGAAAAAAAATCTGTATGGTAATTCTGTAACTAGAAAGCCAAGCCACAGATGTAAAAAAGCAGCTACCGATCCATCCAAGCATGTTTTGTGTTATTTTTATACACCTTTTTTTCCCTTAAGGTAACCTTTCTTCCAGTTTCTTGCACACCTTTGACCGTGATTTAGTTGTTTACATGCAGATATCTAGTGCCGTTTAATATGCAATATCTCATCTGGCCTCTACATTCAGTTCCAGAAGAACGTGTGCCATCTGCAGAGGGCTATCAGTTGCGAAACGTGATGCTGTTTTATCTGTGGATGCCTCAAGTAACCTAAGGCATCTGAAATTGCACCAGGTATCTGCATTCATGTAACCAAATTGAACTCTTATTAATTGTTTACTCATAGGTAAGTAATTCAGTTGCTTAACTGCATCTTATGCACTTTAAAATCACCAAGGACATTTCAGTTGCCTCTCCAGAAGACAGCAAGTGTTCCATAGGACCTGTGTCACTTCTGCTATCCCCATGCAGAAACACCAGGTATCATGGGGTGGATACCTACATACTCAAGCTTAATTAGCTAATCAAGCCCATGCTTTTTTTGTAAGTCAGAAGAACCATAAGTGTTCAAAATTCTCTCTTCCATAGTATAGTGCAAGCTATTTTACAAGAAGAGAGAGTTCTCCTGCTTTATGAGAAGAAATATTTTCTGAAAAAAGTCTGGATGCCATAGCATAGTGCTTCATGAAAGTGGTTAAGCCCAAGGATGCTAAGGCCTCCAGTGATGTTGCCTCCACCTCTCCAGAGATGCACTATACACCTCTGCCTTCAGCATCCAGACACCTCACCAATCACGGGCATTTTGGGAAAATGCCTCTACATTTACTATGGAAAACATTTGAGGGTAACAGATTCATCAGAGACAACCAGCTATAAAACCCAGTGTTGCTTCATGCCTCTTCAATATCTCCTTATAAGAAGCACAAATTGCTACAAAAGCTACAAAAATATGAGTAGGGCTGCTGCTGAGAATGGTCGCTCCATTCCTACTTACACTCTACACCTATCCTATCTGCTATGTTTAATT